GGAGAAGCCAGAGCACAGTCAGGGCTCTGCCTGAACCTGGATGCATTTGCTGTTTAGTGGATGCTTTGGAGATGCCTGTGGGTTGCTGTAACATGAACATGAAGGTATAGTCAGTGTGTAGTGAGTGTCCTCTTGAAATGAGGCTGTGATGGAGCTGGGCTGTACTTAGCGTGTTTTGCAGTAGGCTCTCTTTGGCCTTGTTGTAGAGCAGCTGGTGGTCTTGCTGCCCTTGGGGCAGGATGGTGAATCGTATCAGTGGGTATGTGTTTCTACAGCCAGGCCAAATAGGGAGCTGTTKCAGGACAGCAGAATTCCTGGTTCACCGTCATGGCAGCATCCCCAGGAGCTGAGGTGGTCACTGCCCTGWGTGCCCTGAGTGGCTGTGGCTGACAGTGCGGGCAGGGCCCTTGCTGCTCTGTGAGAGCAGGAAACTTGGCTGAGCGCTCCTCAGGGCAGAGCGTCTCTGCAATCCAGCATGGGGAGGAAAGCTGTGTGAGTGACCCAAAGACAGAGAGCTGGGGAGGAAAGTAGTAAATACCTGTTGTGGTAGATGAGGTCGACGACTCGGGGACTGTCAGGAGAGAAAAATAAGCAGTGTCAAAACGATCATGTACATTCAGTCATAGGTTTTGGATATGAAGCAGGAGAATCAGCAGCACAGCCAGGGCTCTCCTTGGCATGTGACATGGCTGAGGAATAGTGCGAAGGTTGGGATAAGCTGTGGTGTGTTGTTTAGGTGATGAGCAATGGTGTCCTCTTGCCTGTCCCGGGGCTGGAGGAGTGTGTGAGCCCACGACAGGGCAAAGAAGCCAGTGTTGTGGGCAGAGCTGTCGTTTGAGCCCTGACTGCTCTATCAGGCTGGGTCCAACCTGTGCTGCCGTGGGCAAGGAAGAAGGTCCCTTGCTCAGCAGCTGCCCAGGTGAGGAGAGCCGTGAGGGTGATGGCCCCAGAGCTGCTTTTCAGTTCAAGAAGGGACACGGTGGTTGGCCGAGCGGGTGTGTTGGTTATTTGGGAAAGGTAGTTCTTGCCATGTAAGTGATGGAAGTGTTTGTGCGAGCGTGGCTTGGGATGGGAAGCAATGGGAGTTTGCGAGCACCTGCGCAGACRACRCCRGCGTCTTCCTTGTGGCGGCAGTCGTGGATGCCGAGGCCTTGGTGAGAGCACTGCGCGAGCGCCGCCTCGTCCCCCGTGCAGGCGAGCTCGTCGAGGAGCACAGGGCCGGTGCCTTCGCCAAAGAGGGCGCTGCCCTGGACGGAGATGACGTCCCCGCAGCCCATCTGCCTGCACGCCACGGCGGCGTCCCTCAGGTCAAAGCCGTCGTCGCACACGGTGCCCCAGGTGCCGTTGTGGAAGAGCTCGAGGCGCCCCAAGCAGGGGCCGTCGCCGCCCACCAGGCGCAGGGCCATGTCTG